TCCAAAAAAATATCTTGTAACGTCCACTTGCAGCCCATCGCTTTTTGTATTTAAAAGTAAATTTTGAAAATTGAACCTTACATTTAGTATTGCCAAGTTGTTCACTAATAAAATTAAATCTACCAGCTTATCTTTCTTCTTTGATAATGATAATTTGTTTTCTCTTATAAATAAATGGACTTGATTTCTATTAATGTTTGACATAATAAAAATAGTCTAAAGTTAAAAATAAAACACTTTATCAATAGGTTTTCATTTATTTTATGTAGAAAAATTTTCTTTTAATTATTTTAATATTAACTATAATTGAATATTCTTAATTTCATGGTAAATTATTTTAACGCACAAAAATTATGACCATATAAAAGTTATAACCCCCTCAAATTGAGGGGGATTCAAACTTTACATGGTCATAATTTTTGAACGCTGAAATATTTAACAATAAAATTTAAAATTTAGGAATAAATATAAGTCTTGTTAAGAATAGTGCAAAAAATATTGCATCAACTTGTTGCTCTCACTTTTGGGGCAGGTACGTCTCAAATTTTGGGGCTTTTTTGTTCCCAGGCTCCAATCATCGCAATTTTTTGCAAATCATCCTTATTTGATATAATTATAAACATATAAACGTTTGGAGTTTGCTCCATGTTTGGAAGTTATTTGGATCTCAAACACCAAAAAATGCTGGATCCGCCCCTGGATATTTAGCAAATATTAGCAGCTAAATTAAACATATTTTCATAATATGGATATAAAAGCTTCAAAATATGTATATAAAATAACAGGATACAACAAGATCTTCTATTTTTTGTATTTTTTAAACCAAAAAATACACTTCAAATATTCTTTTAATAAAGTATTTAAAATTATTATAACTTATTTGTTTTCTTATTTAACCTATATCAATCTAACAACTCTTAAAATCCAGAAAACAGACAGTTCAACAATAAAATAATTTTCAATGCGCAATATTTAATACAGTGTTACATTATTACCATCGATTTTGTAAACAACATTTTTTGCTTTATAATTTTTTTTTTCTAATTTACGTTTGCATATACTTTAACCACATTATTAGTCTATTCATTACAATTTTAGCTGTATATAAAAGGTTTTAAATTGTTTCATAATATTTATAAAAACGTTTAAAACCATTACGATATCAAAATTCTGACTTTGATTTTTATACTTTTTTCCAGTCAGTGGCCCACTGTGAATCATTGGCATTTTTTAGAAATTCTTTTCTTTCTGTGCAGATTTAGTCGGAATATTAATCCTAATATCCCTTTCTGAAAAAATTTTCCGTAACGGTACGCTATTCATATACATGTGACATTAAAATGGAAACACTTTTGAAACTTGATTACTTTTTAATTAAACAATGTTCAACGATATTGTTTATATAATTTAATCACATATTTAACATTATTAGCAGAAAAGTCTATTATTGTAAGCAAGGCATTTTGAAAAAAAAAATCCAAAAAATATTAAAGGACGTATTTCATTATTGGTACAACATGGATATTCGTATAGAATGATTAAGAAATTATTAGAAAAGGAATCAGTCAAAGTTTCAATAAGAGTTAAAAATAAGGTGGTGAGAATTAGAAGAAAAAATGATTTAAATGGCAAAAAAAGGTGTACATTGACTTTGACTATGAAAGCTAAATTTATGTCAAATTTTTAGATGAAAAACTTCTTGATAAAAAGAAAGCCACCAAATATTTCTGAGTTATCTACAAAGTTTAAGATATTAAAAAAGTCGGTTAAATTTTACATTGATTAAATATTTCATTTGGAACAAGTTTCAAAAGGGTGTGTACATGTATTATCACCAGCAATCAAGAGATGGTTTACAAGAAAAAAAAAACTTTACTGATTTAGTAGTAGAAACTGGACAAAAATCATTACAACTAACAAAAAAACTATTTTACCTTACTGACTGTGATCAAAAATCCAAACATATTTAAATAAATAAATATCAAAAAGCACCAAGAGTACCCTATTATCAAAAGAAAAATTTTCTAAAATCTATCATGGTATTGGTTACAGGGTTTATTCAATAATACAAAAGATATTTGGAGGAACATCCTTCAAGAACTTATATATTAAGCATTAATGTCTAGGTCTTTCTTTAAATTGTAAACTTATCCACAGTGGACCAGAGAGACCACCAGGTTTTATGTTGTGTCAATTAAACGAAACTTTTTTTATTTATTAGTATTTATTTTATAATAATAGAAAAAGTTGTTTTTAAAATCTAAACCAAGTGCTAAGGGTCCCAAATGAAGCATAAGGGAAGATTGAGGGGCCCAAACCCATATATTACATCTTGGATATATTACGTTCATAAAATGTTTCATAATAGATTTCTTTGAACTATTTTCTACAGTGTATCTTTGATACCAATAGTCAAGGCTTCCAAGTGTTCGCAGTTTACCACAAACTTCACATGAGTCTCCTTCACACCAAAGACAAGCTTTTTTACCTGCATGGCTTGATATTCCAAAACTGCATAGCACATTTCAAATCAAAAGCTGCTGAAAACTTAATATCTTGTAAATTGAGTTTCTCTAAAATTATTCTTAAGTTGAAGTTAGATTCTTGCATATCTTCAACTATGGAGAGGATTTGACATCGTTGTACACCACTATTTAAGTATAAATTTGAAGTAGTATTTTCATTAACATCGAAAACATTTACAATGACGTTTTATTAAGGGAAAGTTCTAACACTATTTGAAGTTCTTTAATCATTTGAAAAGATATTTGTATACCTGACCTAGGTATAAATGAACAAAATTTAAATATCTTATCATTTGATAAATATATACTCAACAGTATATACGTACCTTCTCTTTGCTTTGTTATCAGGACATCCAACTGTAATCATCAATGGATTTCCGCCAGAAAACAAAATAAATTGTTCCCTATTCTCAAAATCGTCAGTCCCCATTTTTTTTTTATTATATCAAATGCAACTTGCTCTGCTTGTAAATTTCCTAGACTTAACGCTTATAAGATCAGGTTCTCTACTGCAGATAAAGGAGAGCAGTTGTGTAAATACCCTTTTGCAATAGTTAAAAAACATATACTACATAATTTAGAAGACATACTTGAGTTTGATATATTAGGAACTTCTTCGGTTTGAATTGTTAAAGATGAAGCTGTTCTTGTCATCATATTCCATTCAATCTTGAATAAATTTTAAAAGCTTTTTAATAATTATGTATGTATAAATTTGTATATATATATATATATATATATATATATATTATATATATATATATATATATATATATATATATATATATATATATATATATATATATATATATATATATATATATATATACATATATCGATATATATATATATATATATATATATATATATATATACATTTATAAATATTTTGTATGTTACACATTATATTTATAAATATAATGTATGTTATAACATACATTATATTTATAAATATAATGTATGTCATATAATATATTTATAAATAAATATATTATATAACATACATTAAATGATAAGTCCCTATAACTGATATAAAAATAAATAAATAAATATATATATATATATATATATATATATATATATATATATATATATATATATATATATATATATATATATATATATATATATATATATATATATAAATATATCAGTTGATACTTTGTTCAATATTTATATACTTTGGCAATTTTTTCTCCCCATGAGCCTTGAGGAGGTTTTCCAGCCTTTAGTAGGTAGAGATTTCTCTGACATCCTGAACATATAACATTAGGATAGCTGCATACATTCAGAGATTATTCTGGATAAACAAACAACTTTATCAGTTCTTTTACCGTTGAATTTACACTAATTAAAAATTTAGACCTTGCTCCAAACATTTTCCAACAACAGCAGCACACAGCATTTTGTTCAAAAGCAATATTATCCATTTAAACAAGTAAAAAAAAAAAAATATGCTTTATATTTTTTATAATCTGCAATATGTATATATATATATATATATATATATATATATATATATATATATATATATATATATATATATATATATATATATATATATATATATATATAAATATATGCTTTTATAATATTTTTCATATATTATATTAAAAATTTTTAAAGAATTATAATATCCACATATAAATCAATAATTATGCCATCTTTTTTGCGACTATTTAAACTTCTTTATATAATCGCGCACCCTGGATTTTATTTGCTATACAAAGAGAATTGCATTTTTAATGTTGCTTAACTTGTTATTGTTAGTTAAGGTGTCTTTACAAACAAGAATTTATGTCTATTATTTACATCATTTCAAGAATATCAGCTTCTAAATATCTTCTTTATAATAATAAGACGAACATTTTTGAGCTATTAGAAATCGATGATAATAAAAACCAGTTCTTTCAAACGCCATAAATAGTTACTTTTATTCCGTTAAATTATTAAAGGCGTAAAAAGATATTTTTAAAAAGATGTTCGTTTTTTTACATTTTAATACATATATTTTTAACTTCAAATTTAAAATAGACCACTTGCTAGATACTTTCAGATCTATGTTTTAATATGATTTCAAATCAGTACAATGTTTTGGATCATAATCAATCATAAAAATGAGTGGGTCTAAAACTACCCTAACACCCTATTTTGCTCATTTGGGACCCTAAGCACTTGGTTTTGATTTTAAAAACAACTCTTTCTATTATTATTAAATGAATATAATTAAATAAAAAACGTTTTGTTTAATTGACACGTTATAAAACCTGGCGGTCTATCTAGTCCACTGTGTGTCTATGATAACAATGTTCATCAAATTGAACTTTTAAGAAAAAAAAAAATTGAGAATAAAAAAATATTGCTTCTTAAATATGTCTGCATTTCAATGTCATATAACTGTATATATATAAATTTAAATGTCTATTATAAAGTATATATATATAACTTTTTGTATTTACATTTGTTTATATTTAGATAAAAAAACACTCAAAGGTGTAAGAGTTGAAAAGTTAGTTATAGGTATTTTTAAGTTCATTATTTATATTTAGGACAAGAAGAAAATAAAAATAATTTTTTTCAAAATTATAAAACTGTTTTATACTTTTTAAATATATTATACTATAGTCTATCGAAAGATGTTCTGTGAACAAAAAGGGATTTAAGATAGTTAATGTACTTTAGTTTTTACCTTAAGCATGAACAAAAAAATGCCTATTTTTAAAAATTATAAAAAGTATTTCATTGATTTCATATTTATTTTTTTAATGATGACAATTGACCAGATAGGTAGATTTTAATTCATTTATAAATTATTAATTTTCTGCTTTATTATAGTCATACTTTATAATTTTTTTAGCTTGCTAAAGGTTAGACTTCAATATGTATCTTTATTAATAAATTTTAAATTTTTTTTATGTTTTTGTTATAGAACAGAAAAGAAGACTTGGGTTATATTGTTAAATATATGTTAGTAAATTTAGTAATTAAATATTGGAATTTGATTTTAAAGAAGTTGTAAAATTTTTTATTAATTTATTATTATAAAAAAATCTAATTTTAAATTTGGGAGTAATGGCATATAGCGCCAGCATCGGAATAAACAGGAAATTCGGTTATCCCCATTACAATGACAAAAAAACTGAGATTGGTAACTTTGCACTTTAAAACCTCTATTTGTATCATATTTCAATTTTTTGTAGGTGTTTATTGCTCAAAAGAGTTTTTAACTTTATCCGGAGTTATTTGTTGCTTGGCCTTAGTTAAACCACTCATATTGTGTAACAACTTTAAGGTAACCATTGCACATAATGAGTGTTTTTATAGTTTATTACTTAGTTAAATATTAAAATCTTTCCCTACTCAAAATCTTTTTGATTTTTTTTTGGTTTTATTTTAGATTTAGAGTTGACTCGAAATGAAAAAGACAGGAAAGAATGTATTTTTGTGTATTTGGATTGGTTTACTGATATTTATATTGATTATTTAAGCAATATATATTACTAAAAGATTTTTTAAGTATATCTTTATTGTAAATGTATATAGGAATATGTAATATAATTATATTATTATGTGCTTGTATATACTTTATCAAAATTGTTAAACTTTTTTGAAAGTGTTTATTACTTTACTAAAATATTGTTTATTCCTGTATTTGCTGTTGAAGTGAAATGTAAATCACTGAAAATTTAATATTTTCTATGTAAATCAAAGAAAATTTGTTTTCAGAAACTAATTTCAAAAACAAACAATAGATTTTATGTATATAATATTTGCTAGAAATAATTTGTTTAAATTTTCATATGAACGGAATATAAACCGTAACATAACTTTTATTTACGGAAACTATCCGGCAGCTAAGTTGCTGCAGCCTTTTCGTTATTTGAAGGGGAAAAGCTGTTTAATTTAAATGGAAGTATCCGTTTATTTACGGAAAAGTTCCGGCAGCTGCGACGACCAAACTTTACCCGTTGTGTAACGGAAAAAAGCTATTGTATTTTAACAAAAAAATTTCGTTTGTTAATGGAAACTTCCGTTTACGTGCAATAGGTTTTTCCGTAAAATAACTTGTAGTTTGGTCAACGAATCTTTCCGTAAAAAAAGTGCTTATTTTTTAACAGTGTATTTTTACCAACGCATACTATTTATAGTATTTTAAATTTTTCAGTCGCTTTCTTGCTCTTTAACAATATTTTTTGTTACTAGTTACTCCCAACTTAAAGAAGTCAACTTTGTTGGGAATTAACTAATAAAAAATTGCATTGCGTTAGTTTTATCACTGACATAAGTTTACCGCATAATGAATAAAACTTTCAGACATACTTTTTTATGACATACTGCTTGAAAAATTATTTCTGAAACTCTTAAGTTAAGACATATTTTTCCATATTTTTCTGATAATATATTAATACAAACATATTAACATATAAATGGTTATAAATTAAATAAGTTAACATTTAAAGTTTTTTTTTATGAACTTTATATTTCCTTGTGACTAGTTATTCATATAATGTTTATAATACTGTCCGTTGCATGCCACTAGCTTTCCTTATCATTCTAGACTAGAATATTTAGTTTACTTATTCAAAAATTATTCAAAATTTGTTATTTGAGGCGATCAACAAACCAACTCATGTTAATTTGACTGTATGATGCTATCCCATGCGACTTTAGTTGAAAAATGTTATTACAGCGTTTATTATATTATTAAAACTTTTATTACAGCGTTTCTGAATAGGTTTTTAAGGGCCGATTATTTTAAAGGCCGAGTATTTATAAGATCGAACATTGTTGCGCTCGAAAATAAGTTTTATATTTTTAGAAGTATTTCGGCTGTTTTTCTTTTAGCGTGTGGCTTAAAAACATTTGTTGTGTTCTGTTTTTAATTTCTTATTTAATCAAAAATCTAATTTCTAGTCTATAACATATTCTCTTTAACTAATTCTCTAGCAGACATTAGCTCAGCACAAGTACTTAAGTTAAAAAATTGATTGTAACACCATGCTAAGACCAATGAAGAGCTATAAGATTGTCAACATTCTTCAATTTTTAATGAAAGGCTGGTACCAAATGTACGTCATAAAAAAAATATCGCCTTCATTGCACTTTGCTAGAAGTTTTCCATCAAGCATAGTGCAATGAAGGAAGCTTTTGCAAATGAATGTATGGATATTGTCCGGGGTTTCTATAAAAGGCGTTAGCTTGGCACAACTAAAATAAGAATTTAGTTCAAAGGATCAAATTTAAATTTAATATAATTTTTCTCTTTGCATTTTTACCACATAAACAGAGTCCATCAGTTGTTTTTTTTAAAGTTTGTATACTTTTTGTGGTAATCGGCATATTTATTGTTAAGTTTACCATGTTTCTCTTATTTGTTTTGTTAAGTTAAAACAGGTAAGTTTAATTTGCTTCAACGGCAATAAAAATTATCAATACCAGTGCAATTACCGGTTTTTGCATTTAATCTGGTGGATTTTTGCACGAATCTGGTGGTTTTTTTCATTTAATCTGGCGTTTTTTTGCATTCAATCTAGCGGTTTTAAAATGTATAACAATTTTATAATGCATGTTAAGAATTGCTTAAATGATTAGTAATACAAAATATTCTACATATTCCAGTTGAAAATAAATTTAGATTTGTAACAAATAGTACAATTTAATAGCATTGAGTAATAATAATATTAATAATAATACTAACAACAATAACAATAATAATACCCGGTGAGAAATCGGCTAGCGAATAGATAGCTATAATCGTAGCGATAAAGACAGGAATTTGGCAAAATTATCAAACAAATATCGATAGCAAGAAGCTATCGATATTTGTAAAGATAAAAAAAGACATTTGGCTAAGAATAAGCCGGCTTAATAAGCTAAAGACCTACAAAATATTATATACAAAATATATACAGATTGCTACAAAATCGCAATGTTTGTAGTTCAATTATCCTCATAATAGATTCAACACTAAAAATCGAATTTTTAAAGATGTTTAAGACATTAGGAAATAATAAAATAGGAAAAAAAAGTCGCTAGAGAATCGCTATAAAGCTAGCTAGTCGCTCGCTAGTCAATAACTCATTTCTCACCGAGTAATAACAACACTAATTACAATAATAATAATAATAATAATATAAGCAATAATGTTTATAACGATAAAAATATAGTAATATTAACAACTATAGCGATAATGAAATACTATTGAAATATTTCAGTTTAAAAAAATAAATTTAATGAATGATAATAAGATTAGTAATATATCACAATAGAAAAGAAAAAAATTGATAGATGAATAGGTACTCCGCGTTAGGGGTTATAAATAATAAGTTGTAAAAAGATATAAGATTTATAAACAATATTTTTCTAAAAAATGGTTAAAAAGCATATTTAAATTTTGAGAATGATTTAAGAGATTTTGTTTGGGAAGGGAGATTGTTCCAGGTTCGTATGCTTTTATGTTATATGGATTCGTAGCCGTAATGAACAGTTTGGTATTTAGGTACCTATTTTCAAGTCAGGAGACATTTTTAATCCTGAAAATTATAGACCAATTTCAATTCCTCCTTGCTTTTTGGATTTCAACCAGAGTATTCAACTAACCATTTCATTATTAATATTGTTCACGATTTATTCAAAGCATTTGAAGAAAGAAAGTTTACTCTAGGAATTTTTAAGATCTTAGCAAAGCCTTGAATATAGTAGACCATAGAATTCTTATAAAAAAAACTCAAAAGTTATGGTATTAAAAGCACATATTTAGAATGGCTCAAAAGTTATCTAAACAATAGAAAATAATACATAGCCTACGAAGAAGGGAAAACTGATTACTTGACTATTACTTGCAGTATTCCCCAAAACTCAATTCTGGATCCACTTTAATATCTTATTTTTGTGAACAATTTCTATAAGTTTTCAAAAATTTTAAACTCAGTTTTATTTGCAGATGATACGAATTTATTTTATTCTAATGGAGGTGTCAGCCTTTTATATAATATAGTTTATATACTTTACGATAAAAAAAATTTTTTTATTAAATTTCTCATGTTACATTGACAACTTTAAAATAATTAGAGAGTCATCATTAAAGATCTTAGGAGTGATGCTTGACGAAAACCTGGCATGGAGAGAACGATTAAAATTAAAATTTCGAAAAATATTGGCATACTATACAAAGCTAAGCAAATCTTAAACCAAAACTGCTTAAAAATCTTATATTTGTCCCTTATGCATTGTTATATAAACTATGCAAATATTGCATGGTTTATACAACAAAGCATGGTAAATAGTGGGGTCCCCCATTATAAAATTTTATGATATATAATAAAGATTTTTCTGATTTGGTTTTAGATGTTGTATCTGTATTTACAGATGATACTTAGTTATACAGTTTTCTTTTTGATAGCTCACCATGCTATAACCTGCAATAAAGTATGGACATTATAGCAAACTGGAAAAAACTATAAAAACTAAGTTTTAATGTAAAAAAATGTAACGTTATACCCTTAGGACCAACAAATACAAAATTCAATTATATACTTGTTTATAAAAATCTCAATACTTACTTTAAAACAAAAAAGGAATTGTCTCCTAAAATATTTCAATCTTATTTTAATAAAATTAACCATAGGTACTCAACAAAGTTTTCAGAAAACAATTTTGTTGTTCCAAAACATAAATTAAAATTAACTTCCTATTCAATTAAATACCGCGGACCTTATCTGTGGAAGAAATTTCCAGATATTGTTAACAAAAAGCAGACTACATTAGAGCAATTTAAGGATGAATCAAAACGATTATTGTTGTTCATGGATCTCAATAAATCCGACTTTAAATGTTTATTTTAAAGTAAACACAATAAAAAAAAATAAAAAAAAACAGATTCAATTATATCAATGATGTATGATAATATGAATAAGATAAGAAAGAAAAAGGAAAAAAAGAAAAAAAAAAAAAAAAAATGAATAAGAAATCCAAGTGATGATGTCACAAGTGATGATGTCATAAGTGATGATGTTACATATTCATTTAGTGTTAATTATGAGATTTTATTTTTTCAATTTCTTTTATATTCAGGAATTTTTTTTTTTTTTATATTAACTTATTTCTTAAACATTTTAGCAACTGTTAAGCATCTTAACGCTTTTTAATTAATTCTGATTTTTTATTTTTTTTATTATATTAGTTATTTTCTATTTCATTTCTAATTGTTTCTTTTATATATATATTTGTATGTTACGGTTATGTAGAATTTTTAATGGGGCTCGGCGATAAGGCGAAATGTGCCTTTTTCTTGCTCCAGCCATCAATTTATATAAATGTATATGCAATGTAAACATTTTTTAACGGCGAAATAAATTACACTAAAAAAAAAAAAAAAAAAAAAAATTAATATTAAAAACTCTCTCGTCAATAAAGGGATCTTCATTGACAGTAATTTGACTATTATTTTGTAAGTACTAAGAATAATACCGCTAATAAAGTTGTAAGAAAGATCAAAAGATCATTTGTTAATCTCAACATCTTGACATTTCGTACTT